TGAAATGAGAGGACTAGAGTCATTAACCTGGTGGCCGTGTACATCTTGTTTATCAGAAGACCACCTGTAAACTACTGGTAAAGGTGTCAGAGCAGACAAAGGGTTTCTTTGCATAAGGACGATGTATGACAGATTTAGAAAAAAAGCACACAAGTCAGTCTGCCTACGATGGCTACAGATTTTACTGTATTTTCAGTCAGTTTGAGAAATGGTGACATCTAGTGTTACTATATAAAAGTACAATGAAGATCATGATGACTGAATTTTTAAATTATTTATACAGGAGCTGTTGTGCAGCTCACACAATCCTCCTGATTAGCTGTCGGACTCTTTTCCTCACAGGTGTCTGACGAGTGATTGGTTAATCAGCAACTGAAGGGATTCTAGGCAGTTCTTTCTTTTTTGCAGTCTTGTGTTAAAATGAATCTGTTCCTCTTGACAGACTCTTAGTGGATGAATAACTTTAGTGATGTGAACCTAAACCTTGACTGTAGTTTATTAAACAGAGGAGCCACAATTTTTTTAAGTCCACATTCTTGAGCTGTCATTAGTCCAGGTTTTATGTAAGTACCTGGGTTATTTAGAAGAGTGATTTAGATGACCTTATTTTATTCAACTGTTTACATCTAATGTAATTGACAGTCTGTTGCGCTTCTCTGACTCTGTGAACAAGCAGGAGACCTCACAGGGGATTATCCGAGTCCACGCACCACAGTTCAGTAAGATTTCTATGGCACTTCAACTTACCGAAGACTTGCAGGCTTGTGATGTGTTAACACGCTTTCTGAGCCAGGACAGGTAACATGTATATTAACAGCACAAACAGAGAAGCTCTCACATGCCTGCATGTCCTCTGACTGCGTCTCTCATCTCTCTCATCCTTCCAGCTCGTTGGCAGTAAAAACAGATGATTTGTGTCTCTATGAGATCGGCGGAAACATCAGTGAGTTCTGCTCCCATAAAACTACATGTGTAAACTAAAAACATACACTACAATATTAATTTCCTTGCTCATAAAACAGCTTCTATGACACAAATATGGATTTTAAGTCGTGACAGTACATGCTGTCAATGTGTTTAATGTTTCTCTCTGTCTGCTCTTCTTCTTGTCGTCTTCAAAGAGGAAAGATGCCTAGATGGGGAAACGTATATGAAAGACCTCTACCAGGTGAATCCTACAGCAGAGTGGGTCATCAGAGCTATGCAGCGATGAGTTCATCAGGCCCTGCTTCATGCTGGACTTTTCTAAATTGCCACCACTGTGTCCTGAAAGAAGAGGCGCTGCCTTGTTGTCTGTGGTTCTGGATGCACTTGGAGTTTTCATCTGTAGCATAGATATAGATACTTTTAACTGATCCTCAAATTTGCCACAAAATGCACATTTTCTAATGGAAGAACTCATCAAAGCAGATTTTATGTTATGTGGAAATACGTGTCCTTTTTTAGTTTATTGCACAACTTAAATTCCCATACTTTTTTCTCAATGGGGGGAAAAAAGGAAAATTATTATTATTATTAACAGGAGATTATAGAGATTAATAGTTTGGTGCAGAAAAATAATATTGATTAAATCATAAATCAGTCATGAATAAATACTGGTCCATTTTTGTGGCCTAATTATGATTTTCTTTTTAAAATCTGTTTATATGTCTATTAAAAGTCCTAAAAATGATGTGTACAGCCGCATTATTAAATAGCATTAAATCTGAGCATTTCACCTGGAAGGATGCTTTGGAGGTTTGGGGCTCTGAAGCGGAAAGGTAGGTGCTGTAAAGCAGTGGTTTATTTTTTAGCGTAGAAGAAAACTGATCAAAAACAGTGGATGTGTGAGTGTTTTACCCTACTCTACAATGTGAACAAGCACATGTGTACGTCATACACATGCAGTACTGTGTGTGTCAAGTTCACTTTAAGTATTGCTTTAAAGGGATGGACTGCTGACTGGATGATACATTTGCACGTGCTGGGCTCCAAACGTATCTGTTCATTTGTTGTTTTATTCATTTTTGGCTCAGTACCATCCACAGTGTGGACATGAGTCGATATATTCTACTTTGGCAAAACATGCATTTAGACAGGAATAGAAAATCCCCGTTTTATGTTGGGTTTTTTTGGCATCTATTTGTGTTTCTCCCAGTTTTCAACAAAGGTCTTATCAGATTTAGTGCAGTTTCTCACAGTTTCAGCAGCCTGTGGAGGATTGTGTCTGCACGATAGAGCCACTTCTTTTATGTATAGCTAGGGAGTATTCAAAAAAATGATTTTGGGTTTATTTTGAATGATTTCGATTTATTTATTTTTTTGAATATCTTGTTTTTTTCTGCCTTGTATTGTTGTTTACTGTGATTTTTTTTCAGATAACTGTTTTTGTGTAACTGCCTCTGAAATGACCACTAAAACTGCCTGTAAATAAACATGCAGTTATTAATTACCACATCTGTTGGTGGGAGTGCTTATGTATCCGAATGACTTAAAAGTTCTTGTACACTGGAAAAACTGTCGCAGTCCTGTATCTCTCCAATTTTCAAATGAGAATTTTGTTTCCCACCACTGTTGTACTGACCTACTTAGAGTAACAGTGAGGTTAGAAATAATGAGGTCCAGTGGCTTGGATGTAAAGGGCTTGAGTCAGAGCTCTTGGCAGTTTTTACAGAAAGATTGAATTAGTGTACAGGTTTTCTGTGAGTCAGATTCAGGGCACCAGATGCAAACAGACCACACTTTGTAGCAGAATATAATATCCATAAGAATTTACACAGTGCTTTTGAATTTTAAACTAATATTCTAAAGCTGCTGACACCTTTATTATGTACCAGCACTACAGATTCCAGGCCTTGTATTCTTCACCTGAGCCTGTAAGCTTCATGAAACTTCTTGATCAACCAGAAAGTTAAAGGCTACTTTTGACGTCTCCCTTTTCACAAGGGGTCACCACAGCAGGTAGCTCCACATGTTTGATTTAGAAGAGTTTTTACCCCAGATGCCCTGCAAAGAGGATTTGTTTCTCCAGCTGGAATTGAACCAAAAACCTTTTGTTTGTAAATGTGCTCGATTTAGTTCAGTGTTGTTATGTAGTGCCAAATCACAAAAACAGTCACCTCATGGCACTTTATATTGTAAAGATTGTAAAATAATAGAGAGAATTTTTCAGCAATCAGACTCTCCTGTGAGCAAGCACTTTGCTGACTGTGGGAAGGAAAAACTTCCTTTTACAGGAAGAGACCTCCAGCAGAACCAGGCTTATTTGCGGCGACCAGTTGGGTGTGAGGGGAGGGAGACGGCACAAAAGACACTGTGGAAGAGAGACAGAATAATTATCAAATGCAAAGTGATGTATAAACACACCGTGAGTGAAAAAGGTAATTGAAGAAGAAATCCAGTGCATCATTGGAAGCTCCCAGCTGCCTACCTTTTGCAGGACATGTGGGACTAATAAAGGTTTATCTTATCTAACTAAGGGAAGGTCACCTGATCCGGCCCTAACTATATGCTTAATCAAAAAGAAAAGTTTTAAGCCTAATCTTAAAAGTAGAGATAGCGTCTGTCTGGTAGCTGGTTCCAAAATAGAGGAGGCTGAAAGCTGAAGGTTCTCTCTCCCATTCTACTTTCAAACAGAACCAGAAGTAAGCCACCAGTCTGAAAGCACAGAGGGTGATATGGAACTATGAGGTCTTTAAGATAAGATGGAGCCAGGTTATTCAAGACCTTGTATGTGAGGGGACAAATTTTAAATTCAATTCTTGATTTTACCAGGGAGCCAGTGAAAAAAGTCAGTGTGGGAGAAATATGTTGTCTCTTTCTAATCCTTGTCAGTACTCTTGTAATGAATTACAATCCAGCCTAGATGTAATGAACGCATAAACAAGTTTTTCAGCGTCACTTTGAGGAAGGATGTTTTTTTGAAACTTGCATAATGGCAGTTGATATGTGATAAGAGTTTTAAACCACTACACTAAGAACGAAATATTAAAGCACAAATGCCAGTGCTTTACAGAAAGAAACCCACTAAAGTAACTAACCAGTATTTATGACGCAAGCTCCAAAAACAGCAGTTGCAAAGTGATTTAAAGAAAATAATCAAAGATAATGGAAAATGTAAAAGCAGGTTAAAAGAAAGCTAAATTTGCGAGGGATTTAATACACTGAAAACAATTTGCACAATTATTAAAATTGAATAACGGGCAGCACAAATACAGGACTGATCAGATTAAAAAACATTGACATAACTAAGACGAAACAAGTAATACATTAATAAAAGACTTGATATTATCATATCACAGAAAGCACTTCTTATTGAATACAAACAAAAGCCAGAAAATGGCTTTAGGTATTGGCATAGACCAAGCAAATGGACTGTAATGGATTAGTAAAACCAGTGGTTACTGCTTTAACCACAATTTTTATAGTTGCCCAGAGTAGCAAAAGTAACAGGAATCAGTACTGACACTCTGCACAAGATACTCGAGCAAGGTAGAGCCTGAAGTATAAGGAATAACTATAGTTAGAGATTTAAAAAAAAATTTTTTTTTATTGACATAGCATGGCCTATGATAGATTGATTGATTGATATATAACTGCCCCTGATTTTCCTCTTCTCCCTTCTTTTTTCCCCGAGAGCAGTTTCTTTATTATTATTTCCCCCTTCAAGATGGATAATGTGTTTAAATAGTAAACATGGGATTACCCGGGAGCTGAAACATTCAATGCCATACTGTCCGGGTTTTCCCTTTTTTATTGTAGTTACATTCAGGCTTGCAAATATTCAACTTCAGCACTTCATGTATATTTTCATCTTAATTAATAGCATGTCCAAACAACACCCTCTACCTCCCAGATTATTATTATCTCCTTAAAGTGTTTTGGTGTCGTGGACAAGCCCCTAAACTGGAAACGTAACTGTGTACGCATCCGATTCGCTGACATATCTTTGGCCCCTATTCATTGGCTACTGTCAATGTAGGCGCAATGTGATTGGTCGAATCACAAGAAAAGGAAGTGGCGATCAGTAGTGTGGGCTCAACGCTAAGTAGTATTTGGGTGGTTTATATCAAAGGGTAAAGCTACTGGCTTTCGTCCCTAAACGTGGACATTTTGAAGTGTCAAGAGGTACTCGTCATCCAGTTTTTGGGCCGAGCAGTTGAACAGCGGGGATATATTATTAACGCTGTCTTGCTAACCTTTGTTGCGGCTATGTAAAACTAGCTTGTTAGGTTTACGTCATTTCAGCAGGTGCTACTCTGCTAGCTTAGCTTCACATTGGGATCTATTAGCTTGTTAAACAGCTACAGTAGCTAAAATTAAACAAGCTGGCATCTAGAGGGAATACGGGTCAGACTAGTGTGTGACAGGGAGTTTACTTATGCTACTTCTCGTAGTGTGACCCGAGACTGCGACTGGATGTTTAGTAATAGAAATAGCAGTAGTCACAGCTAGCAGATTGTTAGCTTGTTAAATAACAACAATGGGCTATAAGAAGTGTTTGAAAACAGCAAGGAGACTTTATTTTTGGGCTATTCTCTTCATAGTGTTCATCAAAGGAGTAACAGCTGGTGAGTATGAAATGTCGGTGGTGTTGTAACACTCACTATACGCGTGTCTTAAAGTATCACAGCACCTGTTTTCGTCTATTACATTTCTTTGACTGAATCAAATCAACACATCTCTCACTGCTGCAACATTAATGCTTTTTAGATGAGGAGCAACACCAGGACGAAGCACCAGAGTTAAAGGTATGTCATGGGCTCTTTGGTGCATGGTTAATGCTGATCATAGACTCATTTGCAAGCTAGTCTCTTGGGAGTTGTATGTAACACACGATTTTGTATACGTGTTGCCGAGAAAAGTTAAAGTAAGAAGTCATTCAACTTAAAAAGAAATTGAACACACTGCTAACTTTGCAAATGAGCCTCATGCAAAGGCATTGTTTTTATATACAGCGTAAGTTCCCTCCTTTAAGTAATCCTTTGTAATAACCTCCTGTTGATTTCTCCAGTCCTACCATGACCCAGACTCTGAAGAGGAAGATGTTCGATTATCACCAGAAATTGTGGCAGGTACTATGACCACTGATCACTCCCATCCTGAAGAGGAAACACAGCCCCCTTCGGAGGGTCTAGAAGGAGAGGAGAAGGAGGACCTACCTGACCCGCCTCCTCCTGTTGAGGAAAAACCTAAAGAGGGTAAGGTGTAAGATTTTAAAACATCCACACAGCAAAGGCGTGAAAAACAATCACAATAAGTTGATTAACGTTTGAGATGTCAAAGTTGTTAAATACTTCCTGATGTTTTTACTGTATTAATTATTAAAAATTTAGTTTTTAGCATCTCCTGCTATACCAGTGATGGCTTTGATATTCTAATCCCCACTTTTTACACTAGAAAATGTTATCAGTGTTTAAAAGTGGTTGCATGTAAAGAAGTGGGATTTCAGCTTGGGACTTGGAGCTTCAAACTTTATTGATTTATTGATTGTTTTAAAGTGTTAAATGTTTTGTCAGAAGATAGTTCCCTATGCGTTCTTAAAATAAAGAGCCTAAGATGTTAGCATGCTACATGGAAGGAAAAGCTTAGTGATATATTTTAACGATGTCTAGTCTGAACCTATAAATCTTTCTTTTTGTAGTAGTGCCTCGTAGTGGTGTTATCACACGTCTCATGATCTCAGCATTGAAAACAAGCTCTTTCTTATTATTTTTTTCCTTTGTAAGCTTTGTTTAGTGTTTAACATGTTAACCTGTTTTCACTTTGCCTGACTCTGAGCTAAGCTGAGTGTGGTTTCAGGGTAGAGCCACATTTGATAAACGGTTAAACCCTCGTGAGACGCTGAACAGCTTCTCGCACCTGTGGCTCCTCTTGCAGTGCAGTTACATCATTTCACTTGGGGATTGTTTGTAATTACCCTGCTAGCTCATTGCACAGTTGTATTACTGAACTTGTGTGAGGGAGATGTATTCAGATTAACGTAATTGCGTGTGTAAAGTTGCGAGAACTCTATGGTAATTGTTTCAACTCCTCTGTCTCTTTGTTATTTTTCCACACCAAAGTTGATGGTGCAGCAAAAACCAAAAGATTTGAGAATATAAAGAAAAAAATATATTTTCACTTAGATCTCAGGTCCACCAGTATTTTAAAGGAAAACAGCCTTTAACAGAGTTTGTTTGTTTTCAATCAAGTAAATTTTATATGTGTGTTTTTTGTTTTTTTTAAAATACAGTTCCTGTGGTGAATGGAGGTACAGCCCATGGAGAGCCCTGCATATTCCCCTTCCTCTTCCAGGAGACAGAGTACATAGAGTGTACCACTGACGGGCGGGGGGATGGACGGCTATGGTGTGCCACGACGTACGACTATGACCAGGATAAGAAATGGGGTTTCTGTGAGAGTGAGTTTCAAACTCAAAAACTCTAAAACCTTCACAAATGAAATATTATGATTCATGTTAAAGCCAAAATGGAGTTACATTAGGGCGCTTTGGTATTAAATATATTGCATTGTACAGTACAGGTCCTGAGCCAGCCCTCATTTCATTATGTTTTGCTTCCAAGGAGCCAGACCTGCTTTTAATATTTAAAGTGATCTTGAGCAATAGTTTTTCAGGCTTTCTCAAGGTCTTTCAAATGTTTTCTTTGGACTCGGCTGGTTTTTCACTCATTTTCAGTCCAGCTCTTGTACCTGACCATTTTCAGAGGATTTTTTTTGTTTTTGTTTTTCTTCCTATTTGGTTGTTTAGGCCAGCGGTCCCCAACCCCCGGGCCTCGGACCGGTACCGGTCTGTGAGTCGTTTGGTACCGGGCCGCGAGAGTTGAGGTTCAGGTGTGAAATGTATGGTTTTCAGGGTTTTTATTGGTTTTCATCGTTATTTTGTTATCGTTTTTATCGTTTACTCGGTTTTCCTGGGTCTTTTCACGTGTGTTATGAATAAATTTTCTTTTTTTCGGTACCGGTACTAGTTTTATTTTGTTGTATTTATCCGCGACACCTTAAAGGCCGGTCCATGAAAATATTGTCGGGCATAAACCGGTCCGTGGCGCAAAAAGGTTGGAGACCGCTGGTTTAGGCCACCAGATGAACCGATTTGTCTACACATAAAACACAACTCAGTAAAGAGCACGTTTTTTTACTAGTAGTCTGTTGCAAAAATACATAATTTGTTATTAGTCAAAATCTTAGCACATGTACACAATGTGCAGCATCAAAGGTCACTGTGACCTTAAATGTTTTTCCCCTAACACATGAATTCTTGTGTTAAACTGTCACTGATCATTGTTTGTTCTTCTCAGTTACAGTCTTGGTAGAACTAAACGACTACTGAAACCAGCCTGAAGATATTATTAAGACTTCGTTTGCATAACTGCTACTGCTACCAACCTTTTGAAACCCTTTATTTCCTCTAAACAGTCTGATTGGCTTCTCCTCTCTTTCCCTCAGCGGAGGAACAGGCACAGCAGAGGCTTCAGGCTGAGGAAGCAGAGAAGCAGTATCAGACTGTCCTGCGCATGCTGAACTCCACCACCAGGAAGACTCAGAAAAAAGAGTGAGTGGCTTACTTTTAGTTTATTTGTCTGGTTGTTGTCAGCCTAATTTAGACTCTTGAAGAAGAGTTTATAGAAAGCATGTGGATTTGAAATCTTTTTTAGATGAAGCAGAAACAGAAGCTTTCCAGTTTTTGCCCACACTCTGTAATAAGATAAAAATCGGAAAAGGAACAAAAGTAAAGTTGGTCTATTCAAATTGAAGATTTTGGCAAGGTTACATTTTTTTGCCAATTTTCTTTTTATTTGTTTAAGTTAAAATGCATATTCCCACTACTGCCTTCTGGTCATCTTTTTATTTCACAGACAATATTTGATGTCATTTTACATGTCGATTGGGTTCGATGTCCATTTCCTGCGTGTTTTATTACCAGCCAGCGCTTGCACGCCTTCCATTTGCACATCCTTATTTGCTTTAGCTGTCACACTACTGTTTATCATGTACACATTATTTTTATGTGAACGTGGATTCAATTTCGCTTGTGCCTACTCTGCTTGTCTTTCTCAGATTATATGAAAAGCTGCTAAAAGTGGCAGAAAAAGGCCACCAGAAAGCCATGGAGAAGGTGGCGTATGCCATGCTGTTTGGAGATTACATGAACCAAAATATTACCAAGGCCAGAGAAATGTTTGAGAAGCTTGCCATGGAGGGCTCACCTAAAGCTCAGATGGTAATGATCTCGCTCATAATTATACACGTCTCTTGAGTAAAGTGTTGGAAGCCTGTTTGCAGGTTATTTGTGCTGAGGGGAGCAACTCTGTGACACTCTGCTCTGTTTACTTTTTTTCAGGCTCTTGGATTTCTGTATGCAGCAGGGCTCGGAGTTAACTCAAGTCAAGCTAAGGTACGTCTATGCTCTGTAGATTTGTCTTACAGTATATGGGTTTGTCAGTAGTTACTTATGTTCTGCCATGTTCTCTGTTTTTCAGGCCTTGGTTTACTACACCTTTGGTGCACTGGGTGGAAACCTGCTCGCTCACATGATTCTGGTAAGCAGATTTTTCTGTCAGTGAAGAAATGCTACAGTCATGCTATTTGTATACTTTAATAAAAATGACACTTCCTTATATTGTTTTATTAGGGCTACAGGTACTGGGGAGGGGTGGGTGTTCCCCAAAGCTGTGAATCAGCACTAACGCATTATAGGCTCGTAGCAAATCAGGGTAAGTGTTTTGCGTTACTATATTCTAGTGCAGTAATAGTTCTTGTTGGGCTAATAACACTCTTTCCTCTGCCAACTTTAGTGGCCAGCGATGTTTCCCTGACGGGGGGCTCGGCGGTGCAGAGGATCAGACTGCTCGATGAGGTGGAGAACCCGGGATCTACCAGCGGGATGTTGGAGGAAGACCTCATCCAGTACTACCAGTTTCTAGCGGAGAAAGGGGACGTCCAAGCTCAGGTAAAGTGGTCAAATGTTTTTTTAAATTTTTTATTGCTGGTATTGGGAGCTAATGTGACCTTTCCTTTGACATACCTGAGCCAGTGGTTGATTGAACACACAGTCAAAATGTTTGTAATGTATTTATTTGTGTCAGTTTAGAAATCGTTCTCGTTACACGTGTGTGGCAAAGAAAACATTCAAATTTGTGATCAGCTTCACTGTTCTGCCTTTTGTGAAAGCTGCTGACTGTGGGGAATTAACAAAAACTACACAATATAGTTGCATGTCCACACATTTTTTTATTATTATTATTTCTTTATTTATTTATTTGGCATTTTTGCTTTTTCTTGTGGGCAGGAATAGGAAGTAGCTTGAACGGATGGCACTAATTGACTTTATTGTATAAGAACTGAAATCTGGGTCAGACTTGGATTATGCATGCATGTTATGTAATGTCCAAATGTGAAAGGGCTACATAATGTGTCATTGCTGGGTAGTATCAGTCTGAAGCCTTGTTGTAGTTTTTATTTGATTACTAATTGAATGTTTTACTTAGGTGGGCCTGGGTCAGCTGCACTTACACGGAGGACGTGGAGTAGAACAGAATCACCAGGTAACTTTGTCATAGATTTCGCTCGCTGCATTTTATTTATTTGTTTTGCTTATTTTGTGAGTTGTGAGTTTTCTGTCAAATGCATTTATGCTGCTTTCTGTCCAACAGAGGGCGTATGACTACTTCAACCAGGCAGCCAATGCAGGCAACACACATGCTATGGCTTTTCTTGGAAAGGTGGGTGAGATGGAGGCTCACTCACTTCACTGTTATGTCACCTTTTCTTTTCTTTTTTTTTTTAACCGGCTTTTTTTTTTTTTTTTTTTTTTTTTTAAATTTTTCCTTTCTTACCTTTTTTATTTTATTTTTTTTTAGGGGCGTTTTTTTTTCTTTTTTTCTTTTAATGCCATATTTTCCATCTATTTAACACTATGTTGTGTTGATTTGAGAGACAGTTTGGTTATAGAGACAGTTTAGAATAAAACCAGCTTGGCATTGATGTTTTCACAGAGGCCAGTGTATTTGTGTTTAAGGTATAAAATTGATCTTTTATGTCTGTGACTGTCTGTTCGTCAGATGTATTCAGAAGGCAGTGAGTTTCTCCCTCAGAATAATGAGACAGCCTTGCAGTACTTCAAGAAGGCTTCTGACCTGGTAAGGATAACTGGGTAATTTATTCACTTTGAGCTTGCTCACTCACTCACAGTGAATTCTGTTACCCTTTCTTTAAATATTAACATGCAGTAATTGTTTTTACATATTCATTTACTTTTTTTTCCAGGGTAATCCGGTGGGACAGAGTGGGTTGGGGATGGCCTATCTTTATGGTAGAGGTGTGCCAGTGGTAAGATATTTTATTTTTTTTAAGCATGTCTCATATCTTTTGATAGGATCTGTACATATAGATAAGATCTCACCTTCACTTTTAGGCACTTGGAGTTGAAATAAAGTTTTATATAAACAATAAAGAAAAACAGTTTTATATAACAGGCTTTTATTTTGATGGCAAGCTGTCAGAGTGTCTCTCCTGCTGAAGCAGCTATTGAAAAGTTGTGTGTTTGTCTCCAGAACTACGAGCTGGCCCTCAAATACTTCCAGAAGGCAGCAGAGCAGGGCTGGGTGGATGGACAACTCCAGCTGGGCACTATGTATTACAGTGAGTTTTACAGCTCAGTGTGTCCTTCAGTTTCTCACGGCATTCTTTCATAGTTTTCCTTTTGCCCGCTGTCTGTTTAGGAGTCCTCAGTCTTCGCTCTTCTTCACATAATAACATTTTTGTTCTTACTCTTGTTCCCCAGATGGCATTGGCGTGAAGCGTGACTACAAGCAGGCTCTTAAATTCTTCAACCTGGCCTCACAGGCTGGGCACATCCTGGCCTTCTACAACTTGGCCCAGATGCATGCTACTGGTACTGGTGTGATGCGTTCCTGCCACACCGCTGTAGAGGTTAGTCCACCCTAAATCTGCTGCTTCTTTCACTGTTAAGAGATTGTCTCTCCAACTTGGTGTCTCCTCAAACATTTATCGATTAACAGCAGTGGCTTTTATCTGCACTTTCAATACAAATTGGAGATGTGTATCACACTGTGTGTCTGTTTGCAGCTTTTCAAAAATGTGTGTGAGCGTGGTCGCTGGTCAGAGCGCCTGATGACAGCCTACAGCAGCTTTAAGGAGGGCGACATGGACGCTGCGCTGGTTCAGTATCTGCTGCTGGCTGAGCAGGGCTACGAGGTGGCTCAGAGCAACGTGGCCTTCATTCTGGATCAGAGTAAGAAAAACCAAGACGTTCGTGTTTAACCATGGTAGTGCAGGCTTTTAGCAGTTAATTTATGTGCACATCTTGCAATATTATAGCCATGTTTAAATGCTAGTGTCATGATCCTGCTATACTCTTTACCTTTGTTAGAGAGAGATTCAGGTCTCATTTTAAATGTTTTAATTTTTCATGTGTTTGTGTGAATTATGCCACACAGAAGGGGCAAGGATCTTCAGTGAGAATGAGACCTACCCTCGTGCATTGCTCCACTGGACAAGAGCTGCAGCGCAAGGTGAGTTTAAACAAGCTCTGTCTCCTCGTCAGTGTGAACGGTGTGTGCGCCGGAGCAGTAGAGTCGAAGTGCACTGCAAGTTTAGGGGAATGTGTCATGATGTTCAGCTTGGGAACGTATTGCTTATTGCACATTTCACTTGATTGAACTGTGATGCTGTGTAGACACTGGCTGTGAGCACAGCTGCTCTGCTTGGCTGTGCTGTGCTGTGTGAAACAGTTATTAGTCAAACTTTGGCTCCTTTTGTGGTTGAATCTGTGCTGCTGTGGATGTCTAA